GAGTGAGAGAGTGAATGGTTGTTTGTCTCGTTTGTCTCTATGTGTGGCCCTGTGATGGACTTGCGATCTGTCCAGGGTGTACCCCGCCCCTCACACTGTGACTGCTGGATATGGGCACCAGTGACCCACGCAACCCTGAAAAGGAAGAAGCGTGTACAGAAAATGGATGGATTATTATTATTATTATTGTGCAACATTTTTATATTTGTTAGTATTTTCTTTTGGTAATAACTGACACAGATGACTTGTCTGATTGTGCAAAAAATGCTGCAAAATTCCTTAATTGCTGTATTTTATTTTTCTAACTATGTTTTGTTTTAAGTCACATAATTAACATAATTGAGTAACTTCTTACCTAATATCTTTTTTTTTCTTACCTAATATCAATACTATGATTTAACAGTGTTGTATCTTTGGTTTTATTGAACCTCTATTGAAAAATTATTAAAATATAATAATAACTCATCTTTTACAAAACCTCAAAAAATTTAGAAACAATTTTAGAAAAGACCAATATAACAATCCATATGCAGCTGCACCAAAAACATTTAATTACTAAATGGTCACAAACTAATATGACTTGAATGTAAATTTTTAAATGCATTTTAAAATTTCATGGTTAAACTTGGGGAAAGTTTAAATTATGCTGATCATTATTATAATATTTAAAAAAATGTCAGTGTTTGTGCTTTACTTTGTGTGTAGATTTGCTTGTGATCCAGCAGGGGGGACTCTAATAACATTTTGAACAAAGCTGTCCTGAAACAACAAATCCTAAAAGTATCTGTAAAGCAACATTTGTAAGCCTTTAGGGTTTTATGGAGTTAAATTAAGATTTATAAATGATTTTGTACAAAACACTGATTGTTCATTATCCTGCAACTTCAAGTGAAGCAGTAAAACGTCACAAATAAAGTGCTGTCAAATATAGAGAATTATCTAACATGCTGCTTTTAAACATTTGTTTAAATTTCAGTCATTAACTATTTGATGTCAACTGTGTCTGTTGTCAAAGTCTCGTAAACTAATAGACACATTTTAACAAAACTTTCATAAAGTAATCATTGGATGCACATTTGCAACTGATTAATTTTTTTGGAGCCAATCCAACTCAAAATGATCACAGCTGATCAACATTAGTCCACACAAATGTGGCAAAAATGATGCCACTTTTACTGATACTGGGTAAATATTCAACATAGCAGTCATTCGTGTGTGTTGTCTGGAAGCTTGCAGGACATTTCTCATCATAAGACAATTTATGCTTTTAATATTTATTCTAAGTTTTTTTTTTAATTACAAAGTAAAAAATAAACTTGAACAATCCCCTGTGATTTAAAGAAAGGTGTTGTGGCTGTTGTCTTGGTGAATAGATAGAGTGTGTATTTATTTTCTTCTCAAAGCACAAGTTCAATTTTCCGCTGTATAATCCCGGTGATTTAATAGAGCTAATTTCATGGTACATAATGACCGCAGCCGCAAAACAGAGGGAAGAGGCAGAGAGATAAAACCAACTAAACAAAGAAAAACAGACGAGGAAGGGAACATTTAATTTTATGAGAAGAAGCGAGCATGACATGCAGAAAACATTTTTGAGGGATGCTCTGGACAAAGAAGAAAGGAAGTAAAGGAGGAAAAAAGAGAAAAACGGAGGACTGTGCAAAAGGAATACAGAGCAGCTGCAAGGTAATGGGTAAAAGCACACTGGGAGAGCCATAAGGGCAACTTCCTTCATTCAATATTGATCTGATATGCTTCAGTAGTGTCATACAGACTTCTCCCTCTCTCTCAGCACAAACACTCTCTTTTATTTATTTATTTTTTTTATTTTTGGCCTCTCTCTTCAATTCATCTATCACAAGTGGCCCCTCAGGCCCTTGGTAAATGGATATGTTAAACCTGTCCACAAACACAAACTGATATTTATAGACAGCAAAGCAAGTATCCTCCGTGACTGACAGAAACAAATATCAGCAAATGCAACAAAATATGATAAAAAAAGATGTTTCACCACATCAGTTTGGAGACGCTCCAAAAGCAGGGGGCTGCATATGACTGCATTATCTTAAATTAATAGGAAGACCTAAACATTATGGGATAACGTTAGTCAGCATATAATATACTGTATATGTAATCCTTGATGTGCTTTAATGAGGTCAGAATGACTGCAAAGTTTCAGAACATCTGAGTCATTGTTCCTGTTAGACTGACCATTTCCTGCTATTTCATCTATTTCCATAACCATTAAACAAAACATTTCTCTGGAAGGATGCTATTATTATTCTGTTAGAATAACAGATTTTATTTTGGCCTGAATGCTCCCCAGATGACACGTGTTGTGTATCTGCATTATGTCCACACAAAGCCCAGTCAGCACAAGCAGCTGTCAGCTTTCATAATATGGGACGCATTTTGGGCCAGTTTTGACTTCTCATTGTTCTAGCCGTACCATCTAGAGCAGTGGCTCCCAAAGCTGGGGTCGGCACACCTTTGTGGATCATGAAACATCAAGTGATGGGTCCCAGATGATTTCATGACATCAATTTAAAGTCTAATTTATTGTTAAAAGGGCAATATTATGTGTTTCTCAGGCATATATTTAAATACTATACCATAATAAAGTATCCATGTCACCTTTAGCTGTTATTAAAATGCTGTTTTTTATGTTTAAATAGAAAATAAACTTGTCTTCTCATCAC